ACAGGGTTGTTGTAAATTTTAAACGTTTCTCACCATAGCTGTAAAAATCTAAATATGTTAAACTTAATAGATTGTCTGTCGTTTGTTTTCTAACTAATTCGTTTTAGGACCAGGTGTTATCCACGGAAATTTCCAAAATTTACAACTTTTCGGTCACTCTCGTTGAACTGGTAAAATGTCTGTCTTTATTACATCTAATATTTCGAAGAAATCAGTCCCACTGTACTCGGCTAGAGATTGGTTCGGTTAGGCTTTTGTTTAAGTAAAGTAAAATTTCGGCTCTTTCATCAGGGTTTTATTTATGTCCCCAATTCCCTAATCGCTTAATTATTTAACTACTTAAGTAGAAATAAGTTGAAACCAGTTACTTTGTACTCGAATATTTGTAGTCTCGGGAAAAAGTGGAAAGACAAATTTTTATGACAAACAGACACATAAATCGTAAATTTAAGGAAAATAAATTCTAGAGCTTTTTCTGTACCTCGTGCATCTCTCTCATTCATTAAATTTAGCTGTAAATTATGCTACCAAAGTAACAGTTAATTTTTTAACATTATACAAGAGTTGTACACGTTTTTTTCTACATCCCCTTAAAGATGGGACATACGAAATCGTAATATCACTAATTTAACATTGAAATCCGTGAGTAATATAAAATCAGAGAGCGGAATAAATATATCAAATATTTTAACGGATTTTTTTAAACACCTGTCAACTATACAGAAAACTATCATAAAAACATACCAGTAAATTCTTATTGATTGGATTAAGTTAGAAATCTACTCGCGATTCACGTAATCAGGCGAGGGCGGCCAAATAGCTAGCAGGCGAGCAGCTAACAGCCCAGAACCGGTCCTGAATAGAATTGGATGCGTTATACATGTAGTATCCACCCAAGGTCCTAGGCATCCACCAGATAAACCGGGTGAGGTTGGTGCTCTGTAAAGCGCATGCGCAAATCTGGCTTTTTTGGATGCTGACGATACAGCATTTCCACTCCGCCACTAATATTCTAATATACAATAGCAATCTTATCTTTTTTTCACGTGTAGTATAGAAATTTGTAATAAGATACATAATGCGGTTATAATAAAATATTGTGCGATAATTTTCATATAATTAAAGTTAATATGTATTTATTTTTTATAAAATACAAGGGAAGTGGCCCATCCACCACTTCTAATGACGGCACGCCACTGCAGAGTTTGTCTCTAGACAGTTTTTGGAAGAGACTTCTCCAACCTTATATTCTAGTAATCATGGCATCATAATTTATTAAAATGCAATATTATAGAAATAAAGTTTCTAAATTATGGAAAATGACTCAACAGAATACTTATTTGTATTATTTTCTATTTATAAAAACGTTATTAAATGTGATTAAAATATTTTAGTTTATGTTAGAATACTAAATAAATTCTGGGAAATTGCTAAATCTTAATTATTATAACTTCCAATTTCGTAAAGAATGGAATGTCTGCTAAATTACCAGATTAAAAATCGACATTACTGTATAAAAATAATTTGAATATAAATTTGCATATCTATAATGTATTTCAATATAGTGTATCGTTAATTATAAAATCCTGATAAGAAAATATAAATACTAATTTCAAATGTTAAAGTAACATTTTTTTAAGTTATAGTTTTACTATTAAAATGGACATCTGATAGAGATTCTTAACAATAATGTCTTTTCATTCACTTTAAATAATTATAATTGCATAAAAATTATTTATAAATAAATAAATGAAATTAATAATAAAAAAAACTTACCCCATTTATCTCCCATAAAGCTTCCATCTTCTTTTTGTAGGCTCTTCACATAATTAACAACATTACCAACATTAATAATATCCACTGAGTCATATATTGTAAGAATCTATAAAATAAATGTTAGAATCAATATTTTTATTTATTTTTGAATTAATTATTTTTGGATTTCAATATTTTTTCCAGTGTGGAAGGTTTCCATTTTGAATAAATCTTTTTAACAGAAAAAAATTTGTTCCATTCTGAAGAATTTTTTCCATTAAGGTACATGTTATTACAGCAGGTTTCTTTAAAAATATTTATTTATTCAATTTTATTAATTTGTTCTATATTCCAACCATGTGCATTATGTAATTTGGAAAGTCCGTTAAAAGCTGTCAATTCAAAAACAAAGGTATTCAATTTCGCCTGAAGACGACGGTTGTAAACTGTTGAAAGTACTAGCGAGCACGTCTGAAATTTAACAAATCTCTGTCAATAACGCCGCAACATGGAAGTGTCATATTTTTAACATTTTACCGCATATACATTTTATCAATATTTCCAAAAACATCCACAAAATCATATGCCTCATAAGCATGCAAAATTTTGTAAGTTTCTGTCACCTACTCAACCATGACCTATTTTGAATCACACAGCTGACCATCACCCAATTATCATGCATCAGTTCAAGATATGCTAGACCCCATCCCTTATAACATGGTTGCCCAACTGCAGGCTTGGACAAACCCACAATGTACTCAAGAAAGGCCCTCTTAATGCCCATAGAGCAGAAAGTTTTAAAAAAAATATGGAAAAAGAGAAAGAAATAAAAAAATAGGAATAAGAATAAAAACCTACACTCATGAAAGGAAAGATGTACAGTAGAGTATCGTTTATCTGAATCAATTGGAGACTGGGGTTGTTCAGATAACCGATTATGTATGAAAAAATATATTAACCTATCCTAAGTTGAAATTTTTCTCTGTTGCGTGTTGCTTAGCATTGAATTTTTGTCGATGTTAAGTCTAACATAAACTTTTTAAAATAATAATCGTGGCTATTG